TAAATGATTATTTATATATTTTGACAGAGGAAAGAAATGGTACAAAAGATCTTTTGTTCATACCTAAGTCTACTAGTGAATTCCAAAAATGACATTGCTCTAGCTCAAGTCCTAAACTGCCCAGACAGGGGCCTGGGAAGAGAAGCCTTTACAGATCTTAAACGTGCTGCAAGAAACAAGCAAATGTCCCTGTTCTTGGTAAGGTGTGTGTTGTGTGTTTTTTGTTTGTTTGTTTGTTTGTTTGTTTGTTTGTTGGATTGATAGAATATGTAATCCCAAACTGAGACCTTCAATTGAGGAAACAAGTCCTGTACTAAGGGATACTTGATGATGATGGTGGCATAGACGATTTGAAGTTTAATAGTGTGACTCCTGTAAAGCTAGGCTCCAGTCAAAGAGCTAAATAGATGTATATGGGAGCTGTTATACCTGCCAATTGATTTGGATTTTTTTTCCCCAAGCCAATCTTCACATTTTTACAGCAAGACTGATTATCTCACTTTTCTCTTTTCCAGTGAGGCCCGGTTCACACCTGGGCGTTTTGTAGCGCGCTCCTACGCTCTGCAAAACGCTCAAACACCGAAATCCCATTATTTCGTATGGGTATGGTTTTTGTCGCGTGTTTCCATTGGGATACAGCCAAGTAGCCCTTGGAAACGTGCATTTGTCGTGTGGTTTACAGCGAATCGCGCATATTCGATACGCCTGGGTGTGAACCCAGCCTTGGGGAATGGAGCTTGGTCACTTCTCTGCCAGTAGGCTGAGGAAGCCATCATTCTCCTGTCTCCTCCTGTTGGCATATTCCAACACATGTACATAGAACAAGCCTGACTGGTGTGTACTGGCCCTCCCTCACCCTGTGTGAGTTCTGCTGTCTAGTAGTAAGAGCAGACTGATGGTAGTTCAGTACTTGTATCAGTTTAATTTTAAAATTAACTGCTTTTATATGGTGCTTTTTTATCCTACCTGAAGTTTAGCTAGAATTGCAGTTCACAACTTTACCAAGTCTAAAGGTGCCCATACACTGCTCGATGTCTCGTACGAGAATCGCAGGAAATCCCGCGATCGAACAGTGTGAACGAAGACGTGCAACCGTTTCTACTGTACTGTCGCACGTCTTTTGTCTAAGGAGCATGTTAGAAAACCTGCCGAGGGGGCGTGGCCGAGATGTGAAGCAGAGCGGACGTGTCTGAGGGAGCTCCGCCGCCACACTGAGCTTCATCCGGCTTTAATCCTGCTGACTCGGTTCCTGTTCTTCACACCCGAGCTCCGGTGGATGTCCGGAGCAGGGGGATATGCCCTCTAGGTCTGGCAAGCGAGGTAATACCCCGAAAGGTGGCTGGAGGAGATCCCAGCGTGCGGCCTCGTGTCCCGCCGCCGCCATCTTGCCGCCGTCCATTGCTCCCTGTGAGTGCTCACGCCGGACCTTGTGCATGGAGGGAGTAGCTGCAGACGCTGCTGAGGTGGCGCTGGCCCCTCCGGAGCAGCCTGTCTCCCCACCGACCACAAGTAAGGAGAGGGCTGAGACAACAGCTATCCTGGAGGCCATAGAGGGCTGTAAAATCGCCCTCACAGCCAAAATAGACCATCTGGCGGTGGAGTGCACATTGATCAGACATGATCTGGACAAAATTCGGG